GGAAGACAGCAAATGTATCCCCAGTTTTTAAGAAAGGAGACAGACAGGCAGCATTACACTGCAGACCAGTGTCACTGACATTTATAGTATGTAAAGTCATAGAGAAGAGTATCAGAAGAGTGGTGGAGCACACAGGAAGGAGTGGGCTTATACATGACAACCAGGATGGCTTCAGGATTGGAAAATCCTGTGTTACAAACCTACTGGAGTTGTATGACAGGGTAACAGAAGTAAGACAAGAGAGAGAGGGATGGATAGATTGCATTTTCTTGCACCACACAAGAGACTGGTACAAAATCTAGAGGAGCACTGCAATGTATCAGGGGATACCTGAAAAGAAGGAAGCAATGATTGTTGGTATGTCACATGGTGCTGGAATAGGTACATGTGTCGAGTGGGTTTCCACAAGGGTCACTCCTACGGCTGGTGCTGTTTCTTGAATACGTGAATGATATGACAGAAGTGTGTCCTTGCTCACAGACGATGTGAAACTAATAAGAATACGAAAGGAAGAGGACCAGAAAAGGCTACAAAGAAATCCAGACATGCTGTAAGCCTCATCCAACAAATAGCTCCTGGAGATTAACCTCACCAAATGCAAAGTTATGAAGCTTGGGGAAGGTCAAAGAAGACTGCAGACAGAATACAGGCTCAGGGGGCAAAGGCTGCAAACCTCACTCGAGGAGAAGGATCTTGGGGTGAGTATCATACCGAACACATCCCCTGGGGCGCACATCAACTAAATAACTGCTGCAGCACATGGATGCCTGGCAAACCTAAGAATAGCATTTTGACATCTAAATATGGAGTCATTCTCCACACTATACTGTGTACATCATGCCCATATTAGAGTATGCAGCATCAGTATGGAACCCACACCTTGTCAAGCACGTTGAGAAATTAGAGAAAGTGCAGAAGTTTGCAAAAAGACTAGTCCCAATGCTAAGAAGTATGTCCTATGAGGATAGGTTAAGGGAACTCAACCTAATACACTGGAGGATAGAAGGTGTAGGGGGGATATGGTAATGACATACAAAACACTAGAAAGGAATTGACTAGGTGAACAGGGGCAGAATGTTTCAGAGATTGGATACAGGAACAAGACAGCACAACTAGAAGTTGAAAACTGAGATGAGTCATAGGGATGTTAAGAAATATTTCAGCCTCAAGGTTACTGGGAATTGGAACAATCTGGAGAGTGATGTAGTAGAGGCAGGATTCATGAATAGCTTTAAGAAGAGGTGCAATAAGGCTCTTGGAGCCTGGAAAGAATGGATCTAGTAGCAACCAGCAAAAAGGTGGGGCCGGAGCTGTGATTCGACCCCCTCAGCCACATATAGGTGAGTACAGACACAGACATGCTCTTTCTCTCTTTTCTTCTCCTCTTTTGCCCTGATATTTTTGTCTGTGTATTCAAAATTCTTATGCCAAAAAAAAAAAAAAAGTAAAATAATTACACCTCTACAAGTTGATTTTGATGAACTGAACAAATGGAAAGTGAAAGATTGATAATGAAGTTTGATGTAGATAAATTCCATGAAATGAAATGCAAGCAAGCAAAATAAGACCACATAAGGAATACAGTCTGTAATCAAGTACTGAACACAAGGGATGCAGTTGTTGTTATTAGGGAACCTTCCCCCTGGATTTTTTCTTCCTCCAAGGTTTCCTTGTGATATTTGTGAGTGTCTCTTCTGACTGGCTTCAAACTCTCAGTGTTGATGTATATTAAAGGAAGGTTCATATTGCTTTTAGCCTCTGTAGGGTCCATTTTTTTTTTTTAATTTTATAATGAAAATAATGTGTCCCGTAGCTCGATCACTAGTGCACTTAGCTCACACACTGAGGTCCGGATCTCGAATCCCCGGTACAGCTGGAAAACATTAGGGATGTGTTTCCATAAGACACCTTTTGTCCTTGTTCACCCATCAGCATAAAATGGGTACCTGGGTGCTAGACGACTGGTGTGGGTCGCATCCTGGGACAAAACTGACCTAATTTGCTCAAAATACTCAGCACACTAAGCAGTTTTCTGTATAGTAGTATGTCATTGATGTCAGGTAAGCCTGTATACTTTGTACATGTACTTGTAGAAATAAATATCTTTCTTTCAACACACCGGCCATATCCCACCGATGCGGGGTGGCCCAAAAGGAAAAACTAAAGTTTCTCCCTTTACATTTAGTAACATATACAGGAGAAGAGGTTCCTAGCCCCTTGCTCCCGGCATTTTAGTCGCCTCTTACAACACGCATGGCTTACAGAGGAAGAATTCTGTTCCACTTCCCCATGGAGATAAGAGGAAATAAACAAGAATAAGAACTAGAAAGAAAATAGAAGAAAACCCAGAGGGGTGTGTGTATATGTATATGCTTGTACATGTATGTGTAGTGTGACCTAAGTGTAAGTAGAAGTAGCAAGACATACCTGAAATCTTGCATGTTCACGAGACAGAAAAAAGGACACCAGCAATCCTACCATCATGTAAAACAATTACAGACTTTCGTTTTACACTCACTTGTCAGGATGGTAGTACCTCCCTGGGCGGTTGCTGTCTACCAACCTACTACCTAGGAGGAATAAAGATATTATTATTATTATTAATATTGTAGTGGTCTGAGTGCAGCAACTTGAGGTTGCTTCTTCTGATTGGCACCAAAATTTCAGTGCAGGTGTATGCTACGTGGAGGAAGCTTCCAGTAATTATTGGGCTCTTTAGGTAAAAATCTCGTAGTTTTATTTTAAAAACTTTTTTTTTTTTTTGGGGGGGGGGGAGGTGATCACCTTCAAACTTTCAGTGTTGCTGATGTATCACATCTAATTTTTTTTAATTAGGCTCTGTGAGTGACAATTGACTACTTTTACCAAAAGAAAAGTTTTAGGGAGTCAGTCTTAGCTTTTCAGAGCATTTTGGAGCACTAATGAAGTGTGGTATCGAGCAAAATGTTATAACATCTTAATTCTGCAAATAAAGAGACTGAAACTTATGACGATGTTTCAGTCTGACTTGGAATATTAACTAGTCGCACAGAGATGTGTGCAGGGAAGGGAGCCAGAACATATATGATAGGAGGATGAGGGACAGGTGGTGGTAGCTAATAGTAATACTAGCAGTAGGAATGGTAGGTAACAGTAATAGTAGTAGTAGTAGTGCTAAAGTGGTAGAGGTGAAAATAAGAAGGCAGTAGTGGTAGCGAAAAAAGGAAAAAGAGTGGAGTGTTGGCAAAGAATAGTAGTAGTAATTGTGGAGGTAGTCTATGAACAAGAGAACAGAGGAGCACTGCAAGAGAGCTCATGGCCCACAGGGGTAGGACAAAATTCCCTGCAAGATAAAACCCCTATAGGGCAAAGCCTAATGAGAGAGTAATATGAAAGTAATGAGAAAGAAAGGCATCCACAGAGACAAAGCCAGGACTAAGGTTCATAGTAGGAATGTTGTGTATAAGGGATGCTTCAACAAGATGGCATCTGTGAAGATTAGAAGGGTAGACAGTTTTGGGAGAGTACTAGTTAATAGAATGACTGTGATCTCTAACACGACAGAAAAGAGCATTGTTAGTGTCAGCAAGGCTAAGACTTCCTCTGTGTTCTTTTTTAAGTCTATCAGAAAGAGAGCAGCCAGTTTCTCTAAAGTACTGGAGGAAAAGAAGAGCAGGAAATGAAGTAGACTCTAAAAGCATCAGTGGCAGGAGGAGAGGTACAAACTAGATTACTATGAAGGGTGTTAGTTTGGAGAACAGTAAATTTGTTGTCCAGAGAACAGAGGGTGTTGTTAAGATTTAGAAGACTGAAAATATAAGGAAGGCAAAGAATAAATTTTACAGTAGAAAGAGGGATGTGTAGGGGCCTTACCTGTCTTCACAAAAATCAAACATCTCTGCTACTTTGAGCCAGATTTTTATGCCACTTTAGGTCCTGAACCCAGCCAAAATCATTTCTATTTCAGTAATATGTCTTCCAGTCTATGAAATGGTACCAAGACACAACCACTAAAACTATAAAAACCATCCTAGACAAAACCTCAAAGTCATTATTTTAAACCAAACACATGATCAGAGTTTTGCTTTTCCCAGAAAATAACTCATGAGGCAGGATTTTTTTTTTTATACTGCACACATTCACCACACAAACCCATTCTCTATCTAGGCCAAAATTTAACACTCACAGCTTATCTGAGTGAGCTGAGCTCATGACGTAGAACTACATAAGGAACCCTGGCCTCAGTAATGTAGTTCTCTGTGATGGCCACTGAAAGGGTTAAATATAAATTGTGGGCTAAAATATTCAAAACATCAGACACAGAGAATTTAAGAGTAATTACTATATAGACAAAAGATTGTTGCAAGAAGATCAGACAAGTGAAACCATGAGAGGCCAGTATGCTACACAGAACTAAAATTAACCTTCAAATTCATATAAGAATGGGGAAATACTAAAAAAAAGCTGCAGTGTACTTTCAGCTAAAATTAGAATATGCAGCAGTGTTGGGTTTGCTTTGCAAAAAAAGTAGATGAGACAAAAATTATCCAAATATTGTACAAGCTATACAGATTTCCTGATCTAAAAAATAAGCGTTGATAAAGGGTTGCTAGTACTAAAAGTACCATATTTGGTTGAGGAAAAGAAGAGACATGAAAGGTTGTAAGAAAATAGATGACGATTTCTTAGCACTATCAATACAAAAAACAAATGGCCAGAAATTATGAACTTTAAAAAAAGTGATGCTTAAAGTCCTGTATACTAGAAAACTTTTCTTCACAAACATTAATCGAGTATTGGAATGGGATCCAGGTGGTGGTGTCACAACCACTAGAAGCTTTTAAACATTATGAAAAACTAAAATCAGAAAACAAGACACTAGAAGCAAAGATCTGTTCTTGTAACCACAAACAGATAATTACTAAATACTTTTAAGTTATAGAAAAGAAAATACATTTAAAAGTTTCTGCTACTTCTCAAAATGTTCAGCATAATATTAGCAAGGGGAGAAAAAAAAACTCTTATATGTACTCTTCAATATAATTACACTCTATCAGTAATATTAAAATACAAACTCGTTATTATTAAACATTAACATGGACTCGATTACTTCATCAATGCCTTCTAACTTCTTGATGATGACATCCAATTGTTTCTCCTCTTCTTCAGAAATAGAAACAGAAAGTTTTGGTATATAATCAACACTAGCATAGTTTACGGTATATTTGAGGTTCTCCAAGCCTTGTTTCACTTTGACAAAATCCTCAGGTGAGCAGGTAAACTGTGGATTAAACAAATTAGTTAGAAAAACAAGCAAGGTACACTCTGTTCTATGGATTTAGAGTTAAAGAGAGGATCTTCTATTCTGTCCTTAAGTCAAGTATTAAAAACAAAACTACACCATCAACAACTTTATTCAGATCACATACCATACACTTCTTAAATCCACTATACTGTATCATGGATCATCTTGATATATCTTTTCCCATTATACTATTCTAGCATCATATTTTAACTAGTTAATTTATTTTCCAAAAGCATAAGAATAAAAGTAAAAAACGGACATAATGCCAGGGCATAAATAGTTAAAAGAAAATAGTTAAAATAGTTAAAAGAAAAATTTCATTCATATATAGTTGCAACCTGCAGATTATGAGGGTCAGTGAATACCAGATCAAATACCATATTTTCCAGCATATAAGGCACACTTTTTTTTTCCACAAAATATCTTGCAAAATCACCCTGTGCCTTATATGCTCAAGGTCAAGGGTAGGCTTTGGGTTAAGCTCTAGCAGTATTAACCCTTTGACTGTCTCGGCCGTATATATACGTTTTACGAGGTGCCGTGTTTGACGTATATATACTCATAAATTCTAGCGGCTTCAACTCAAGCAGGAGAAAGCTGGTAGGCCCACATGTGAGAGAATGGGTCTGTGTGGTCAGTGTGCACCATATAAAAAATATCCTGGAGCACGCAGTGCATAATGAGAAAAAAAAAACTCCGACCGTTTTTTTTTAATTAAAATGCTGACTTTGTGGTCTATTTTCGTATAGTATTTATGGTTGTATTCTCGTTTTCGTGGTCTCATTTGATAGAATGGAAAACATATTACAGAAATAGTGGTGTTTTTGATTGATTTTACTATAAAAAGAACCTAGAAATGGAGCTCAAAGTAGGGGAAATATTTGATTTTTGCCAATGTTCAAAAGTAAACAAATGATGCCATTTTCCAATAAATGTCCAACTAGCCATTCTAATATGCAGTCATGAATGGGGTTTATGTTATTTATACAGTTATTACAGCATTGCAGTAGTCTGCATAATAGTAAGTCTAATATTTTTGTTTGAATAAAAATTCAAATAGAAAGCAAGAGTAATATCAGAGGGGCCTGGAGACGTGACTGATGAACAAAGAAAAAAGTTATTTAGAGCCTGGAATGTCTGCATTGTTCATTCTGGACCTTATTTTGAAATTGTCATATTTTTTAGTTTTCGTGAAATTGGCCAAATTGCAAATTTCTGACCACATTATTAGGTAGTTGAAATCAGTAAATGGGCAGTTTCTTGTACTCAATCGATAGAAAAAATGAAGTTCTAAAGAAATAGCTATGAGTTTGGGCGACTGGAACAATGGAATTAGCCGAAAATAAGGCTCAAAGTGGGCAAACTCGCCGATTTGTAAACAGCGCCGAGGTCGCTAACTTCGCGAGAGCATAATTCCGTCAGTTTTCCATCAAATTTCGTTTTTTTGGTGTCATTACAATCGGGAAAAGATTCTCTATCATTTCATAAGAAAAAATAATTTTTTTTTTTTTTTTAATTTTGCGACACCAGGAGACACCTCAGGATTGGGGGTTGCGACAGTCAAAGGGTTAACTAACATTATGTTACAAGTCTTATATACTTTTTTTTTTTTTTTAACAAGTCGGACGTCTCCCACCGAGGCAGGGTGACCCAAAAAAGAAAGAAAATCCCCAAAAGGAAAATACTTTCATCATCATTCAACACTTTCACCTCACTCACACATAATCACTGTTTTTGCAGAGGTGCTCAGAACACAACAGTAACCATATACGTATAAAGATACACAACATATCCCTCCAAACTGCTAATATCCCAAAACCCCTCCTTTAGAGTGCAGGCATTGTACTTCCCATTTCCAGGACTCAAGTCCGGCTATATAAAAATAACCGGTTTCCCTGAATCCCTTCACTAAATATTACCCTGCTCACACTCCAACAGATCGTCAGGTCCCAAATACCATTCATCTCCATTCACTCCTATCTAACACGCTCACGCACGCTTGCTGGAAGTCCAAGCCCCTCACCCAGAAAACCTCCTTTACCCCCTCCTTCCAACCTTTTCGAGGACGACCCCTACCACGCCTTCCTTCCCCTACAGATTTATACGCTCTCCATGTCATTCTACTTTGATCCATTCTCTCTAAATGACTAAACCACCTCAACAACCCCTCTTCAGCCCTCTGACTAATACTTTTATTAACTCCCCACCTTCTCCTAATTTCCACACTCTGAATTTTCTGCATAATATTTACACCACACATTGCCCTTAGACAGGACATCTCCACTGCCTCCAGCCGCCTCCTCGCTGCTGCATTCACAACCCAAGTTTCACACCCATATAAGAGTGTTGGTACTACTACTTATATACTTATGTGTCTTATATGCCAGAAAATACGGTACTTCCCCAAAAATCTGTGATCAGTTTTGAAAATAATTTTGTCTACTGAGCTGGCAGTTTATACAATTCCAATATCACTGATGCATCATCCTTTGTTGAAACTCCTTTGCTAGGGAAATGGACCACATATAGAATCTTCTCATGCCTATGCATATTAAGGTTACTTCAGAAAACTTAAAAACAGGAAAAATATAAGCAAAATGTGAAAACGTAATACAGTGGTACCTCGAGTTACGAACTTAATTCATTCCAGAAGGCTGTTCGAGTGCCGATACCGAACGAATTTGTTCCCATAAGGAATAATGTAAATTAGAGTAGTCCATTTCAGACCCCCAAAAATACACTTACATAATTGTTCGAGTTGGGAGCTGTTCGAAACTTGAGGTACCACTGTATAGTGGAATCTCTGCTATTTGTTAACCTAAAGTATCTGCACACTTCTGTGATAAGGGTCCAGTAGACAGGAGAAATACACTCAAATGTGAATTTCTTCATGCCACAAACTCAGCACTCGCACCATCATCTAACAATTATTGTTAGATGGTGGTGTGAGTACTGAGATGGCAGATCTTGACCATCACTAATTATAATTAGTGATGGTGAAGATCTGCCATCTTCAGTTTTCTTTTACTGATATGAATGATGAAGGATAAATCTGTTATGAAGAAGAAAACAAGATAAATCCCTTATAAGATGACTCATTACAACCTTAACTAGGTTATTAATGTTTTTTTTTTTTTTGTTTTTTTTTTTCAACAAGTCGGCCATCTCCCACCGAGGCAGGGTGACCCAAAAAAGAAAGAAAATCCCCAAAAAGAAAATGCTTTCATCATCATTCAACACTTTCACCACACTCACACATAATCACTGTTTTTGCAGAGGTGCTCAGAATACAACAGTTTAGAAGCATATACGTATAAAGATACACAACATATCCCTCCAAACTGCCAATATCCCAAACTCCTCCTTTAAAGTGCAGACATTGTACTTCCCATTTCCAGGACTCAAGTCCGACTATATGAAAATAACCGGTTTCCCTGAATCCCTTCACTAAATATTACCCTGCTCACACTCCAACAGATCGTCAGGTCCCAAGTACCATTCATCTCCATTCACTCCTATCTAACACGCTCACGCACGCTTGCTGGAAGTCCAAGCCCCTTGCCCATAAAACCTCCTTTACCCCCTCTCTCCAACCCTTTCGAGGACGACCCCTACCTCGCCTTCCTTCCCCTATAGATTTATATGCTTTCCATGTCATTCTACTTTATTAATGTGTATTTTGTTATATTCCATGATACAAAATGTCACTGCCTCAGTCTACACACTTTGTGACTGCCCATGGAGTCACTGAAAGCATTATAATCTCCTCCATCTCTGTCCCCTCTTATCAACTCTTGACATTTTCACCATACACACAAGGCAGTGCGCTAGTTTGATTTATTATTTTGAATATAACTAAAAATAAATCTACCACTGACTATCTTCATATGACCAGTGGTAAAAGTTCTACTTATTACAGAACAGGACAACTGCATGCACTTGAAAGGGAAATGTGAATGTCTATAGAAACGTGCAACTAAAATGTGAATGTTTGAATATGATCAGAGATTGGAATGGTAATTAAGAGAGTTTACGAAGTTGTGTAAACTCAGCAGACACTTTCTGACCAAACAATAATGTTCTTAAAAAAGTAGTATTCATGTACTGAGATTCCAAAAATTACATGCATTAAGCAGTCTTCTATAATTGTTAGAGCCTTAAATTCCAAGCAAAATAAGTTATAAATATTAATCTTCAAATATTTTACATGTATTTTTTTTATAACAACTCACCACTAAGTTGTCTTCATGTTCCTCTACATCCTCTGCTCCAATCTCAATAGCATTATCCATAGCAGTCTCCAGACACATTCCTTGACTGCTTACCATCACAACCCCTTTCTCTTCAAATAAATGACGAATACTTCCTTTAACTTCCTGGATACTGTCAAAGAAATTTATACAATACTTATTACAACACTGATGTCCTTGCCTGCAACTGCTGCAGATACATACATATTTGTAAATCTTTTAATTATTTTTAAATAATACAATAATTAAATTATGTTTATAGCATATCTAATAAATTTTCCATTAAAGATAGCTTGATTTATAAAGAATCTCTCCAACATATATAAAATGTCTGTATAAATACAGTAGACATTTATGTTACAGATTACATATGAAAAGGTGTGTAAGGATATCAATAAGGAAACTACCCTGTCTGGAGATGTATACAGTGAGACTAGGTACATAGTTTGTTGTGGTACAGTACTATATAAATGGAGATGAACATGAATGTATCCCAGAGTAGTGCTCATTTTTCACAGTAAAGGGCCACAAACTTCAAACTGAGTCCATAGTCAACCTAAGAGTTCCTGGTGCATAACTTCACATGCACGAACCTTTGCAACCTCTCTTCAGAATCTCCCAAAAGACCCATGTCAACAGCAAAGAGCAACTGTGACAACTCCCAGTCTGTATCAAATTTGTTATCTTTTAATCTCATGCCCTTCCCCAACACCCTAGAATTCAAACTGACAATCCCATCTATAGATTATAATAAACAACCATGGTGACATCACATATCTGTCTAAAACACAAGAGGAAACTGGACAAGTATTTTCACCAGGTGCCAGAACAACCAGGCGGTGATGGATATGTGGGGCAGTGGGCCACCAGTAGAAACAGCCCCAGACAAGCCTGGTCCATGGCCAGGCTTTGGCAGTAGAAAGACTCTCAGAACTTATCAAAAGTAAAGCTTTTAAATTTGGAAGTATGGAGAGTTTAGGGGCTAAATGCTTATATTTTTATGGCCAGTGAAGTAAAAAACATCTCTTAAAATCTTCAGTACAATCTTTTCTAACTTTCTATCCCTTGACCCCATGCAATCAGTAACTGTTTAATTTTAGAATAATTTCTTTTATCTCAAAGGTTTGGATAAGAGATGGTTTGTTGTATTAGATATTGTACTTTGTAAGGAAAATTATATTACTTGAGCTTTCTCACTGCAGAATGAAGAGTTGTCTTGGTGCGAGTTATATTGTCTGTTAGAACTTCTGTCAGGAGAAAAACTCCACCAGGTCCTTTATATTCAATAATGGCTGATTTAGCATTATCTTGTGATTTCTGAAAAATTGCCAAGTGTTACTGTGTGCATTTTTTGTTATAATGTTACTTACAGATATACATAATATAGGTGGGGTGAGCCCAACAGGTGACACATATCTCATGATAATCAACATGGAAGAATAAAAAGAAAAAGAAAATATTGTAAGACATTAATGTAAAATAAGCAATGACACCATTGATAAAGTTTAGAACAGTATAAATTGGAATTAATATAATAAAATAATATAAAGTAAAATTAAAATTCATCAACTAATTATATATAATACATAAGGTATTCCATGACTCTAAAAAACTAAAGCGAATATCAAACAAAGCATTAATAAAGTGTACACACCTACCTGATATGTATCTATTACATTTTTTATAGTAGACCGCTGCATATTCTGGCCAAGTGCAAGCTCAATAACTTTGGCAAGCTTGGAGTTCAGGTGTGGATCTGTACCTCCACCTTCTAAAAGGACATTTTAAAATTAATATCCTTTACTAGAATAATGATGATAATGATGGAAGAGAAATAATCTTTCAGTTTTTTATTCAAACAAACACAACAGTGAAGAGGCAAGGCCAGGAGCTATGAATTGACCCCTGCAACCACAGTTAGGTGAGTACACACACACACACACACACAGAGAGAGACAGAGAGAGAGACAGAGAGACAGAGAGAGACAGAGAGAGACAGAGACAGACAGACAGAGAGAGAGACAGAGAGAGAGACAGACAGACAGAGAGAGAGACAGAGAGAGAGAGAGACAGAGAGACAGAGAGAGAGAGACAGAGAGAGACAGACAGAGAGAGAGAGACAGAGAGAGAGAGACAGAGAGAGAGAGAGAGAGAGAGAGAGAGAGAGAGAGAGAGAAGGGGGGGGGGAAGGCAAGCAGTAGGCAAGAACAGAATGAGCCCATGGTTCACCCAGATGTAGGGATGCAAAAGCTAAGTGTGAGAGCATGGAAGACATATAAGAAGTAGAGAATGATGGAGAAAAAGAAAACAAGCAGAAGAGTCAGAAATGAATATGCATGAGTAATGAAAAGAGTCTGATCAGCAATTTAAGAATGTCATAGCATCAAAAGCCTAATCTGAGCCTAAGTTGATGTACAACCACATTAGAAGGAAAACAACTGTAAGGGACCAGGTAATAAGGCTGAAGAAGAAAGGAGGGGAGCTTATTGGGAATGACCCAGTGTGGAACATGTTTTTTTCCTTCAAAGTGCAGTAAAATTCTATAAATTACCTAAAAGTTAGTTTAATCTTGAGTCTGCCTGAAATACTTAGGATAACTAAAGGCTTTACCCAGTATGAAAACTTATGTCATTCAATTTCTTATATAATGTCTCACCTGAGTAGATAAATCTGTTTGTTTGCAGTTACTACTAAGACCATACATTAAATAACTTCATGAGGTCCTATATACCACACACTGAACCCAAGAATGCAGGGGTTTGCAGCATTCCCTGTGGGGGGATGTGACTGATTCTAAAGCAGTTTGCTCATTCATTTACAGGATCACAAATATTCCCATAGAAGGGGTAACATCAATAAAGCCTGTGCAATAGTACAACTCTCACTCATTCCTAATAGTATGGGGCTAAGTCAAGTTATTGTTTCAGGGGAAGGAAAAGGTTAAATGTAGATGTTTGGAATCACATACAGTCACCCTCAAACACAATAACAGGATGTTCACCTTAGCAGTCACTACAGCTCACATGTTATTGTAGAACAAAGGAAACTTGATGTGAGGTGGTAGGCCACATACAGGATCTAACTCGAACTTGATGCACCTGACTTACACCTTGGATGACTATTTAAGATATTGTATCTCATATTTGTAACACACTTGAAAAAGCTCTCTCGTGAGTCACTGCTACTGGTGCCTTTTTACAATTAAAATTATTTACACAGTTTTGTATTACAATCTCTGCAAATTAACATGGCTGTATTAATGTGCAAGTTTCATTACCTGATACAATTATAGCATTTAAAATTATTATTAGACATTTCAATTATATTAAGCTTAGTACTCAAATAACCTAATTTCAAGTATATAGGTATATAAATGTTAAGTAGTTTTAAGTTTGAGTCTGCCCGAAATGCTCTGCATAACCTGGGACTTTCCATAAAGTATAAAATAATTTTTGCCAAATTTTGTAACAGTTGTATACTTTTTGGAAGTAAAAGTTTATTTATTTATATGAGAAGGTAATGTAAGCTGCAAGCACTGGAAATTTGAAAATTATGTATGAAAATGAATTAAAATACGTATTTGAACAACCCTAAGCATAGTTCTAACCCAGTAACTACAGATTAGGAATAACAAAATTGTAAAAAAGTAACAAAATATAGTATTTCAGAGTGTTTTAAACATATTCTTACCTTTAATGGCTATTTTCAAAAGGCGACTGTACTTGTTGTACACCACTCGTTTTTCAGCATCTTTGCTTGCTTTGATGTGTTTTATATTAGACCACTTGCTGTGTCCTGCCATGCCTCTCCAGAGTTCCACATTATAATTATTATTGCTGTTCTTTAAAGAGCTATGTAATATCGTGCATGTAACACTCTCCCTTCCTACACATCGAGCTGGGGGTAATACAAATTTGCAAACCTGAAAAGAACTGATGATTAAGTTACAGTACTGTAGGTAGCACATTCTCAGCTAATTTCAAAATACAGTAGTATAGCATAATTATTATTATATTCATAGGAAAACTCTTTAAACCTGTAGGGATTATACAGTACCTGTGAAATAGGAGGTATGTAATTACATTTGATCCAAGGAAGGAGAAAGTAGCTCCAATTCTTTAGATCAAGAGCTCCTCATTAGCATAAATGCACTTACTTGAAGGGTAGGAAGCTACTGGATCTTCCCATCTGCCAGCCATGTTGTTGCACTTGCCCAAAATGCATTGTATAACAATGGGCTTTTCCATGTTTGATGATATAACTGATAATGATAATGTAATAGCATGTATGCATGTACCATGGAAAATATTCTTCACTCCCACAAACACCACAATGATCACCAAATACTGTACACCCAATATTCATGTTTAATATAATTAATACTACCAGATATGGATTCTATAATATACAGATAATTATATATATTTTTTATTTGCATAATGTTTTTTGTGAGTAAGATATTTTTTTTTTTTTTTAACAAGTCGGCCGTCTCCCACCGAGGCAGGGTGACACAAAAAGAAAGAAAATCCCAAAAAAGAAAATACTTTCATCATCATTCAACACTTTCACCTCACTCACACATAATCACTGTTTTTGCAGAGGTGCTCAGAACACAACAGTAAGCATATATGTATAAAGATACACAACATATCCCTCCAAACTGCTAATATCCCAAAACCCTTCCTTTAGAGTGCAGGCATTGTACTTCCCATTTCCAGGACTCAAGTCCGGCTATATTAAAATAACCGGTTTCCCTGAATCCCTTCACTAAATATTACCCTGCTCACACTCCAACAGATTGTCAGGTCCCAAATACCATTCGTCTCCATTCACTTCTATCGAACACGCTCATGCACGCCTGCTGGAAGTCCAAGCCCCTTGCCCACAAAACCTCCCTCACCCCTTCCTTCCAACCTTTTCGAGGATGACCCCTACCCCGCCTTCCTTCTCCTACAGATTTAAATGCTCTCCATGTCATTCTACTTTGATCCATTCTCTCTAAATGACCAAACCACCTCAACAACCCCTCTTCAGCCCTCTGACTAATACTTTTATTAACTGCACACCTCCTAATTTCCACACTCCGAATTTTCTGCACAATATTTACACCACACATTGCCCTTAGACAGGACATCTCCACTGCCTCCAACCGCCTCCTCGCTGCTGCATTCACAACCCAAGCTTCACACCCATATAAGAGTGTTGGTACTACTATACTTTCATACATTCCCTTCTTTGCCTCCATAGATAACGTTTTTTTGACTCCACATATACCTCAACGCACCACTCACCTTTTTTCCTTCATCAATTCTATGATTAATCTCATCCTTCATAAATCCATCCGCCGACACGTCAACTCCCAAGTATCTGAAAACATTCACTTCTTCCATACTCCTCCTCCCCAATTTGATATCCAATTTTTCTTTATCTAAATCATTTGATACCCTCATCACCTTACACTTTTCTATGTTCACTTTCAACTTTCTACCTTTGCACACACTCCCAAACTCATCCACTAACCTTCGCAATTTTTCTTTAGAATCTCCCATAAGCACAGTATCATCAGCAAAAAGTAACTGTGTCAATTCCCATTTTGTATTTGACTCCCCATAATTTAATCCCACCCCTCTCCTGAACACCCTAGCATTTACTTCTTTTACGACCCCATCTATAAATATATTAAACAACCATGGTGACATTACACATCCCTGTCTAAGACCTACTTTTACTGGGAAGTATTCTCCCTCTCTTCTACACACCCTAACCTGAGCCTCACTATCCTCATAAAAACTCTTTACAGCATTTAGTAACTTACCACCTACTCCATATACTTGCAACATCTGCCACATTGCTCCCCTATCCACTCTATCATATGCCTTTTCTAAATCCATAAATGCAATAAAAACTTCCCTACCTTTATCTAAATACTGTTCACATATATGCTTCAATGTAAACACTTGATCTACACATCCCTACCCACTCTGAAACCTCCTTGCTCATCCGCAATCCTACATTCTGTCTTACCTCTAATTCTTTCAATAATAACCCTACCGTACGCTTTTCCTGGTACACTCAATAAACTTATTCCTCTATAATTTTTACAATCTCTTTTGTCCCCCTTCCATTTATATAAAGGGACTATACATGCTCTCTGCCAATCCCTAGGTACCTTCCCCTCTTTCATACATTTATTAAACAAAAGTACCAACCACTCCAACACTATATCCCCCCTGCTTTTAACATTTCATAAGAACATAAGAATGTAGGAACACTGCAGAAGGCCTACTGGCCCATGCGAGGCAGGTCCTTATCAAAACAACCTCTACATAAAGCTGACACCATTCAAACCAAGCCCCTCCCACTCATATATTTGTCCAGTCTCTTCTTAACCCTTTGAGGGTTTTCGTCGTACTAGTACGTCTTACGCGTAGGGGTTTTTGACGTACTAGTACTCATAAATTCTAGCGGCCTCAAATCTAGTGGGAGAAAGCTGGTAGGCCTTCATATGAAAGAATGGGTCTATGTGGTCAGTGTGCACAGTCTAAAAAAAATCCTGCAGCACACAGTGCATAATGAGAAAAAAAAAACTTTGACCATTTTTTTTTAATAAATCAGCGACTTTGCAGTGTATTTTTGTATGGTATTTATTGTTGTATTCTAGTTTTCTTGGTCTCATTTTATACAATGGAAGACATATTACTGAAATTGAGATGATTTTGACTGGTTTTACAATGAAAGGTGCCTTGAAATTGAGCTCAAAGTAGCAGAAATGTTCGATTTTTACCAAACTTCAAAAGTAAACAAATCGTGCCAAGCGAGCAATACACGTCAACTGGTGAGTCTAATATTCTTTCACAAGTGCACCAATAATATTTATACCATTTTTTACACTAATGCAGTAGTCTGCATAACAGTAAATCATATATTTTTTGTGAGAATAAAAATTCAAAGTGGAAAGCAAAAGAATATAAGAGGGGCCTTGAGACGTGACTAATGACTAGAGGAAATGTCATTTTAGTGCCAGGAATGTCTTTCTTGTTTATTCTGGACCCTATTCGGAAATTGGCATCTTTTGAAATTTGTGTGAAATTGGCAAAATTGCTAAATTCTGACCACTGTACTGGATAGTTGAATTTATAAATGGGTGGTTTCTTGCACCCATTCGATAGAAAAAATAGAGTTCTAGCGAAATATTCATGTTTTTTGTCGACTAGTACAGTGAAATTGGCTGAAAATGGGGCTCAAAGTGGGCAAAATCGCCGATGCGTAAACATCGCTGAGACCGCTTACTTTGCGAGAGCATAATTCCGTAAGTTTTCTATCAAATTTCAAACTTTTGGTGTCTTTATGATCGGGAAAAGATTCTCTATCTTTTCATAAGAGAAAATAATTTTTTTTTTTTTTTAAATTTGGCCGACCCTGAGAACGAGTTTTGGAGAGGGCCTGTCGACCCTCAAAGGGTTAAAGCTACCCAAGGTCCTAACCTCTATCACCCCACTGGGAAGACTGTTCCACGCATCTACAACTCTGTTAGAAAACCAGTACTTACCTATGTCCTTTCTAAATCTAAATTTATCCAACTTAAATCCATTATTTCTGGTTCTTACCTGGTTTGACACCCTCAGTACTTTATTAATATCTCCCTTGTTTATGCCCATCATCCACATATACACTTCAATGATATCTCCCCTCATTCTACGCCTCTCCAGAGTGGAGATTTAAGGCTTTAAGTCTATCTTCATACGGGAGGTTCCTTACACAGTAAATCATTTTAGTCATTCTTCTCTGTATGTTCTCTAATGAGTCTATATCCATCCTGTAGTAAGGGGAGCAAAACTGAGTAGCATAATCTAAATGAGGCCTCACTAGTGATGTATAAAGCTGTAAAATAACTTTTGGACTTCTGTTACTTATACTTCTTGAAATAAATCCAAGTAATCTGTTGGCCTTGTTGCGCACACTAAGGCACTGCTGTCTTGGCTTTAGATTTCTGCCATGATCCCATCAGTTCCAGCTGCTTTACCCCCTTTCATTCTCCATAATGCCTCACGTACCTCCCCCACACTTACATTCTGCTCTTCTTCATGCCTAAAAGATGGTATACCTCCCTGGCCAGTGCATGAAATTACCGCCTCCCTTTCTTCCTCAACATTTAAAAGTTCCTCAAAATATTCTCGCCATCTACCTAATACCTCCCTCTCCCCATCTACTAACCCCCCTACTCTGTTTTTAACTGACAAATCCATATGTTCCCTAGGCTTTCTTAATTTGTTTAACTCACTCCAAATTTTTTTCTTATTTTCAGTAAGATATATTATTATTAATATTATTAGCCTTATATTTACACGCTGTTCCTGTTCACCTAGCAGCAAGTAGGTACCTGGGTGTTAGTCAACTGGTTTAAGTCACATCCTGGGGGACGAGACTGAAGGGCCCCAGTGGATATAAGACAAACAGCCCTCGATAATGCACTGACTTTTGTGGGTTATCCTGGGTGGCTAACCCTCTGGATTAAAAATCCAAACAAATCTTATCTTATCACTTTAGTGGGAGTGCTGCACTCTGTTTGATTGTCCTGTACTGTACTTGCATTTTGTAAACAAAAATGAAGTCAGGGATACACCTGATCGTTTATATAAAATATGGGCTGTTTTTGGTAATGTAAAGCAAGTATAACAGTGGAACCTCAGTTTTCATGACTACTCCGTTCTAAAAAGTGTGATGAAAACCAAATCGTCCAAGTCGGACCGAAATGTCGTCATAAGCTCCTCTTTTCTATGTGCGGGTTTTTTGTATAATATTTCCCATAAGAAATAATGTAAATCCAATTAATCCATTCTAGACACCCAAAAAATATTAACAAAAAATACATTTTATAGAGAATAACTAGTTTTACATACAGAAAACAATGAGAAATAAATATAAATGACTAATAATGAAATGGATAAAATAACATTTAACATCACTTTTACATTTATTGAAGACTCTTGTTGGCATATGGAAGACAGCGAGGAGGGGAGAGGGAGGAGGAGAGGTTATTGTTTGGAAGGGGACTCCCCTTCCATAAGGACTTCAGGTATCAAGGCCCTATCTGGGGTTACTTCCCTTCTTTGTCTTTTAGTGGCACTAGGACCAGTTTAAGAGTCACTACCCCTGTCGCACAAAAGATCTGTCCAGAGAGGTCTGTTTCTGGCGTCTCTTTAAGATTTGCCTAAAATGGGACAAGGCACTGTCATTGAACGTGTTGCAGACATGGCTTGAAACAGCTTTGTTAGGGTGATATTTCTCTACAAAACTTTGCAACTCACTCCACTTTGCACACATGTCCTTAATCACTGAAGAAGGCATATTGTCCCCTCTCTCTTCCTCCTCCTTTGAAGTAATTTCCTCAGCTGCAGTCTACAGGTACCATCCAACTTACGACCGAGCTTGGTTCCGACCAACCGGCCGTAAGTTGAAATGGACATAAGTCGAACCTTACTACTGAATATCAACATCACATTTTTTTAATGACTTTATTTTATTGTTTTATTTTGGTATTTCATTTTTTACTTTACTTTTTATGCTATTAGTACTGTATTTTATACTGTAAGGTTTAGGATAAACACTGTGTACAACACAAACAGTTGTTTATTTCCCAGAAATTTGGCATAAAAAACACGGTTGTAAGTCGAGTGGCCGCATGTCGAGCAGGTCGTAAGTCGGATGGTAGGTGTATTGCTGTTCCAGTTGAAGGTCTTGCAGCTCTTCAGTGGTTAGCTCTTCCCTGTGGTTGTCCACCAACTCTTCCACATCCTGGCCACTCACATCCAACCCCATGGACTTCCCCAAAGACGCATTAGATTCCACAATAGATGTAAGGTCGTCAGGGTCAGCCTCAAACCCTTCAAAATCCTTCTCGAGGACACATTCTGGCCACAATTTTCTCCAAGCAGAGTTCATCATCCTGGAAGTTACTCCCTGCCAACCCTTATCTATTAGGCTTATGCAGTTGAGTATACTTAAGTGATTTCTCCAGAACTCTCTTAGGGTCAATTCAGTATCTGAGATCACTTCAAAGCACCTTTGAAATAGTGTTTTGGTGTTTTTTGAGGTTTGAAATGACCTGCTGGTCCATGGGCTGGATAAGAGGAGTGGTATTGGGGGCAAGAACTTCACTGTGATGAAACTAAACTCCTCCAACAATTGGTCTTCCAAGTCTGGAGGATGAGCAGGAGCACTGTCCATTACCAGAGGCACTTAAGTGGCAACTGATTTTCCAAAAGGTATTTCTTCACACTTGGGCCAAACACTTCATTGACCCACCCAATGAAAATTTGCCTCGTGACCCATGCCTTATTGTTAGCCTTCCATGTCACACACAGTTTACTCTTGATGATTTTTTTTTCTTGAACACTTGGGGATTTTCAGAGTGATACACCAGTAAAGGCTTCACTTTGAAATCCCCACTAGCATTACCACAGAACAAAAGAGTTAGCCTATCCTTCATAGGCTTGTGTCCTGGCAGTGCCTTTTCCTCCTGCGTGACGTAGGTCCTCTTTGGCATTTTCTTCCAAAAGAGGCCTGTATCGTCACAATTGAAAACTTGTTGGGGGAGGGCTCCTTCAACCTCTATGTACTCCTTGAATTCATCAACGAATTCTTCAGCCCCACGTTTGTCCGAACTTGCAGCCTCATCATGTCTTATCACACTGTGTATGCCAGTTCGTTTCTTGAATTTGTCGAACCAGCCTCTGCTGGCCTTAAATTCACTAGCAGCAGCACTCGTTCCAGGCATTTTCTTTGTGAGATCTGTATGCAACTGACTTGCCTTTTCACAAATTATCGCCTCCAAAACACTATCTTCCGCTAACTGTTTTTCATTGATCCACACCAACAACAACTTCTCAACATCTTCGATTGTTTGCAATCTCTGTTTCGTTAGCTTCCTTGATTTCTTTTTTCTTTGCCAGGATGGAATTGATTGTTGATGCGGATTTGCCATATATCCTGGCGAGATCGTCTACATGTACGCCGCTTTGGTACTTTGCTACGAATTCTTTCTTGAATTCTATCGTGTTTCTCGCCTTCTTTATCAAAGGCCTGGCACTCGGAACATTCTTTGGTCCCATGGTGGCTTATTTAGCAGTCACACTCAATAAACAAGCACAAAAAACAATGGATTATTACGAAATGTTTCTGATGAACACGTGGGGTGATGCTCACTCAACGGGAAACAAAGGCAGACTTAGTCACGAACACATGGGATGCTTTGTGTGGGTGCTTGAGTGGCCGAGTCACGTGGAAGCGTTTGGTACATACCATTTTCAACTCTATGAAAACCGAGTGGATGTATGAAAACTGGGACAAAATTTAGACGAAAAAAGTCGTCGAAAACCAAATCCTACGAAAACTGGAGCATACGAAAACCAAGGCTCTACTGTATTTAGCAACACAAAGAGACTGAAAAAAATAAAACATGGGTAATAAGCAAGTGGACATTTTGGCCGTGGTTAGAGACTCTTTTCAGGAACATCCCCCAATGAAAAGCAGGGGTGTCACTAGCACATTAAGAGACAATACAATAAGTGTCAGGGGCCCGAGACTGTTCAACTGCCTCCCAGCATACATAAGGGGGATTACCAGTAGACCCCTGGCAGTCTTCAAGCAGGCACTGGACAAGCACCTAAAGTCGGTACCTGACCAGCCGGGCTGTGGCTCGTACATTGGATTGCGTGCAGCCAACAGTAACAGCCTGGTTGATCAGGCTCTGATCCACCAGGCCGCCTGGTCACAGACCGGGCCGCAGGGGTGTTGACCCCCGGAACTCTCTCCAGGTAAACTCCAGGTAAACTATACATGTTGGAATGGGAGGTATGTGTATTAAAGATTGCAGATGACTTGGGTGAAGATGAGTGGAGAAGAGTATTGGTTAAATGGTAGCAGTTGTTGAGAAGTGGTCTGGAAGAGTTCATATGAAAATCCTTACTGGCTGTTGTGTATCATTATCAGGTGGTGGAATGTAGGATTTTGGATCATATGTGATGATGGAATCTGGTTTCCATTGTCTTTGTGGCAGACTGAAGTTAGATTTGGAACTGATGAGTCTGACTAATTAATTCTTCTTGTATATGTTCACAGAATTTTGTGTAAGAGTTTGGAGTCCTGTCAGTTCATGAATGAAATGACATACTGCATTGCCAAAAATATGAAGCCAAAGATAAGTTGTAGAACAAATATTTATTTTAGTGACACTATACTGTACCACCAGACTAAGAATAACACTGGTGCTGGAGTTTGTCTTTTTCTTTGGTGTATATGATAGACAACACAGTAAACCCTCTTACAATGTGATTCACATTACACTATTTGGTTGCAATGCAATTCCACAAGGAATTCTTGTTAAAACCAAAACAATAGTGCTTAAGTGTTCACAATAAATCTTAATAAATTTTTGGTTTCATATCAAGAAGTATAAATAACAGAAGTCCGTAGGGTTATCATGGATAATTTGCACTGTGTATGATAATTATTACGTGTACCCGTGCTTTAATAAACTTACTAACTTTATATGTATATTTTTTGGTAGGCCTCGTTTAGATTATGCTGCTCAGTTCTAGTAACCTTCATATTACAGGACATAAATGTGCTGGAAAATGTACAGAGAAGCATGGAGTTGATTTCACGTATCAGAAACATTTCTGACAAAAATAGGCAGAAGGCACTGAACTTGCAATCTCTGCAAAGACAGAAATACTGGAAGATATGAACCGAAGTGAGCAACATGAAAAACGTTGCGAGACAGTTCCCGCAACAATGTGATTAAGAGAGAGAGAGATTAAGTTGGTCAAATTAGATTTAGAAAGTATACAGGACAATACTGGTTTTCAATATTGCTGTAGATAAGAGGAAGGAACTCCCAGGTAGCGTCAATGAGGCGAGAACTTTGAGTATCTTATCTAACTTCAAATTTAGGTTGGACTGGTATATAGCCGATTGTGGGTTGGACGGGCTTAGAATAGGCCAGAAGGCCTGCTGCAATGTTCCTTTATTTTTATGTACTTACTGTTCTAGTTCCAAGAAGTTTCGTGGTCCAGATTAATCCAAATAAAATATTTTTAGAGGTCCCCAAAAGTAGCCCGTAAATAAGTTACTACAAATTAGTGGGAGAGCTATTAATATTTTGTTAAAACGGTCCCCACCTGCCATATATATGCCATGATTATAATAATTGTGGCGTCCAGGTGTATCAGTTATTTGTTGTTATTGTTAAAGGTCACCAGAGACTGAGCAGTTGGATATGCTAAATGTTGAAGACAGAGTAAAACAACTGAAGCTAAATCATGTTTATAAAATTGCTCATAAACAATGTCCAGAATATCTTACTGTAAATTTTGTCAATACACAAATAACCCGCACATAAAAGAGAGAAGCTTACGATGACGTTTCGGTCCGACTTGGATCATTGACAAAGTCGTAAGCTTCTCTCTTTTATGTGCGGGTAAGTAAGTAAGTAAGTAAGTACGTTATTAGGTTCACAATAAGTTACTGTTATTTATTCACATTGTGTAGAGACCTAGGATAACCAAAAGTCAGACATGAGTGACTTATTTCATGTGACGTCCAGCGGTATTGTGCTTTGTTATTTATAATTTTGTAGTTGACCCAAGCATCATGTCAGGTGGACGACACACTTTTTACCACGTCATTGCCAGGTTCAATTTATTGTACCAATATAATTATTATTATTATAATCAAAGGGGAAGCGCTAAACCCGGAGGATTATACAGCGCCTGGGGGGGGGGGGATGTGGAAGGCATTCAGGCTTAATTCGGGGAACTGGAGCACTGATCCAATTCCCTAAATCAAGAGCCCCTCACCAACTTCAAGGAACCTTCCCTGAGGGGGTACAGCAATAGAGGAATGGAACAGACTGCCTGCACATGTCAAAGCCAGTCATAGCATGAACCAGTTCAAGAAGAGTGCCAAAAGGTGTCTGATGAATGTAGCTACAGAAAGGGAGGGGAATGATTTTCTATTTTTTAGCTAACATACGTGTAAATTTTACCTTATTCCTAGTAATGACCCCCTATTGTAGATAGTCCTAATGACCCTTGTGTAGTAGATAGTCTTTTTAGTATAATAAAAAATGTTATCTTTATTATAGAATAATAAGAAAATATTATAACCTTTATATTATAATAATAATAAGGTAAAAGACCCCAATGGAAATAAGTCACTGTCTGACTTTTTTGGGTTATCCTAGGTTCTCTACACATATGTTGCTATGTATGATAATTCTATGTAACTGTATTTGTGTATACCTGAATAAACTTACTTACTTACTTACTAGCTGTCTTGAGCTCTACATTCCAGCTCCCTGGCATCAAGGAGTTCTCACTTCCACCAAAGTCTTTAATAGACAGATAAGATAAGATTTCGTTCGGATTTTTAACCCGCAGGGTTAGCCACCCAGGATAACCCAAGAAAGGCAATATGTTATCGATGACTGACTGTTTTATTTCCATTGGGGGTCCTCAATCTTGTCCCCCATGGGCGACCCCGCGGCCTGGCTGGCAAAGCTCTGGCTTCACACACGGAGGGCCCGGGTTCGATTCCCGGGTGGGTAGAACTATTTCGACGCGTTTCCTTACACCTGTTGTCCTGTTCGCCTAGGAAATAAAACAGACATTCCTCGATGACGCACTGCCTTTCTTGGGTTATCCTGGGTGGCTAACCCTGCGGGGTTAAAATTCCGGACGAAATCTTATCTTTTCCCCAAGATGCGACCCACACCAGTCGACTAACACCCAGGTACCTACTGGATGCTAGGTGAACAGGACAACAGGTGTAAGGAAACGCGTCGAAATGTTTCTACTTCGCCGGGAATCGAACCCGGGCCCACCGTGTGTGAAACGAGAGCTTTGCCAGCCAGGCCTCAGGGTCACTGTTAAAGTGGATCATCAAAATTAAAGGTCAATGGCAGGCCTATTGATTATGCGTCCTCCTTTAAATATCTAATTACTGTTCCATGAAAGCTAATACCTGTGAAATAAAATTAACCAACAATGTAAAGGATAGACTTAAAGCTCTCAGAACTATTGTAAGATAACCCCTCAAGGGAGGTTCGTTGAAGCTGGTGAGGGGCTCTTGATCTAGGGAGTTGGATCTGTGCTCCAGTTTCCTGAATTGATTCTGAATATCTTCCATAAAACCCACTTACCCCACCACCCTCCCAAACCTTTCCAACATTCCATCCTTACCCATCCTTCTTCCTCCCCCATCTTACCAAAGCTCTGGTCAGAACCTCGTTACCTCGTCCATCCCCCTCCCATCGGGCGCTATAATCCCTACGGGTTTAGCGCTCCCCATGACTTTAATAATAATAATGTAAGATAAGATTTTTTTCGGCTTTTTCACCCGGAGGGTTATCCATCCAGGATAATCCGATAAATTGATAAATTAGACACATATGCAACACTTGGGTATCTTTAATGAGGAAACGTTTCGCCACACAGTGGCTTCATCAGTCCATACAAAGAAGTACGGACTGCTGAAGCCACTGTGTGGCGAAACGTTTCCTCATTAAAGATACCCAAGTGTTGCATATGTGTCTAATTTATCAACTTGTCGGTTCTCTGAATCATTCATCTACATGACCCGATAAAGTCAGTACGTCATTGTGGACTATCTTATTTCCAATGGGGTCCTTAATATTGTCCCCCAGGGTGCAACCCACACCACTTAATTAACACCTTGCACCTACTTACTGCTAGGTGAACAGGGGCAGCAGGTGTAAAGAAGATTAAGAGACATATGCAACAGTTAGGTATCTTTATTGTTGAAACGTTTCGCCTACACAGTAGGCTTATTCAATCAAGTACTAAGGCAGCAGGTGTAGTAGTGAAATAAAGATGATGTAATCAGTCCATCAACCTTGGCGAAGAGGTATTTGAGGTGGTCAGTCCCTTATCCTGGAGAAGAGTTCAGTTCCAAGGTCTGGAACGATATGAAACTGAAGCATAAGAATGGAGCCTTAAATACTGTCGAAGGTGAGGTGGAAGATCCCGACAACATCGTAGAGGGCGGGAATCACTAGTAGAAGTAAATAGGCAGGGCACTCTGGAAGTCAGTGAGTTTAATATATTTATTATGCACCTCATACCCATCCTGTGGGTGGTATTCAAAAGATTCCAGAGGTACTTAATGGGCCCAGGGACTGGGCCCCAAAGTTTTGATAGCCGAACAAGTTACAAAGGTAATGAACTCCAGGTAGATCTGAATCAAGTTACCGTTGTGCTGCATTGTCTGACAGTAATGTTGAAAATGGTATGAAATACCGACAAGTTGATGATTAAGACACGTGTGTAACAGTTAGGTATCATTATTGTTGAAAAACAGAAATGAGCAGGAAGGGTAAAGAGAAAGGAGAGTCTTTCAATGTACATTATGCTAATAGCCGTAGTGCTAGGAATAAGATGGACGAGTTGAGATTAGCTGCTAGTGCAGGTAACATTGATGTATTTTCCATGACTGAGACGTGGTTTAATTCAAAAAGTCGGGACATGCCTGCGGAATGTCACATTCAGGGTTTTAAATTGTTCCAAGTAGATAGAAGTATCGGGAAGGGGGGTGGGGTGGCATTGTATGTCCGAGATCGCTTGAATTGTTGCATAAAAAACGGGTATTAAGTCTGAAGTAACACATAGAGTCTGTTTGGATAGAATTTTCAGAGGGGCATGAAAAAATTATTTTAGGTGTGATATACCGTCCCCCAAACTTAGATAGGGACCAAGGGAGACTACTATGGGAGGAAATTGTTAAGGCCACAAGGCACGATAATGTAGTAATTCTAGGAGACTTCAACTTTAGTCATATTGATTGGAATTTCTTGACTGGGAATTTAGAATCATACGACTTCTTAGAAGTAGTTCAGGATTGTATTTTGAAGCAGTTTGTGACAGAACCTACAAGGGAAAATAACCTGCTTGACTTAGTTCTGGCAAACAATGAATCCCTTGTTAATAATTTAGAAATTTCAGAGGAACTCGGTGCTAGCGACCACAAATCAATTACATTTAGCATTGAATGGAAGTATGATAGAAGGGATAACTCAGTAACATCCCCAGATTTTCGCTTAGCAGATTACGATGGGGTTAGAGAACACTTATCATCTGTTGACTGGGGTAACGAAGAGAGCTATCAGTATGACAGTTTTCTGAACACTATACATGCTGCTCAAAGAACGTTTATCCCGTATAAAGAAATTAGATCAAATAGAAATGACCCAAAATGGATGAATAATACGCTGAAATATCTACTAGGGCATAAGAAGGGAATTTATAGGCGTATCAAAAGAGGTGAGGGTCATCTTATGAATCAGTATATTAACATTAAGAGGGACATTAAAAAGGGGATAAGAAAAGCTAAAAGGGACTAAGAAATTAAAGTTGCTAGGGATTCGAAAAGTAACCCGCTCCCGCTTCACACACGGAGGGCCCGGGTTCGATTCCCGGCGGGTAGAAACATTTCGACACGTTTCCTTACACCTGTTGTCCTGTTCACCTAGCAGCAAATAGGTACCTGGGTGTTAGTCGACTGGTGTGGGTCGCATCCTGGGGGACAAGATTAAGGACCCCAATGGAAATAAGTTAGACAGTCCTCGATGACGCACTGACTTTCTTGGGTTATCCTGGGTGGCTAACCCCCCGGGGTTAAAAATCCGAACGAAATCTTATCTTATCTTATCTTGTAGAACAAAAGTTAGAGATAAGATAGATCCCCTTAAAAATAACAATGGCATCTTACTGACAAAGAGAATGAAATGTGCTCGATTTTAAATAATTATTTTCTCTCGGTTTTTACACAGGAAGACACTAACAATATTCCAGTAATTAATTTTTATAGTGGGCCTGAAGAAGATAAATTATGTAACATCACAGTCACTAGTGAAATGGTTGTGAAGCAGATAGACCGACTGAAGCAAAATAAGTCGCCGGGTCCTGATGAGCTTTTTTCAAGGGTTCTTAAGGAATACAAAATGGAACTCTGTGAACCATTAACTAATATTTTTAATTTATCTCTTCAAACGGGTTTGTAGTGTCTGATATGCGGAGATGGCTAATGTAATTCCTATTTTTAAAGCAGGGGACAAGTCGTTACCGTCAAATTACCGCCCAATAAGCCTGACCTCAATTGTAGGCAAATTACTAGAGTCAATTATAGATGAGATTATAAGAAGCCATCTCGATAAGCATAGCTTGATTAATGATACTCAGCATGGATTCACGAGAGGCCGGTCTTGTCTAACTAATTTATTAACTTTCTTCAGTAAAGCTTTT